ACTTTGCTTATTAATATTCATGTTTTCTTCTCTATTTTGTTTCTTGTGTCGTGAATGTTTGTGTTCCATTTCGATTCACTTCTTTACACGTCTTCTCCCCCAACCTTTTTTACGAGCTGGTCGAAGTCGAGCAATTACTTTAGCAGCTTCATGGCTGATAATCGTAAGTTTTTCAACTCGTCTTCTCCCCAACCCTTCTTGCGAGTTGGTCGAAGTCGAGCATTTACTTTGGCAGCTTCTTAGCTGATAAACGTAAGTTTTTCAACTCGTCTTCTCCCCAACCCTTCTTACGAGTTGGTCGAAGTCGAGCAATAATTTTAGCAGCTTCTTAGCTGATAATCGTAAGTTTTTCAACTCGTCTCCTCCCAACCCTTCTTGCGAGTTGGTCGAAGTCGAGCAACGAATTTAGTAGCTTCGTAGCTGATAAATGCAAGTTTTTCAACTCGTCTTCTTCCCACCCTTTTGTGCGAGCTGGTCGAAGTCGAACAACGACCTTAGCAGCTTCATAGCTGACAATTGTAGTCGCGTTCAGAGGTTATGCCCTTACCTTCATAGCTATCTTGATATTGTTTGTGTAGATGTGTTTAAGTTGTTTGCATAGTGTGTATGAGATTTCTTTCAAGCGTGACTGACACCTTCATAGTTGTGTATATTGATTTCATGTTTATAAGCTCTGTAGCGTGCTCGAGATTCTATTCGAGAGTACATCTTCTGCTCGAGAGTGAAAACTTCGTAGTTGTGTTAGTCGACTTCGTAGTCGAAGGCTTCGTAGCCTGCTCGAGATTCCACTCGAGAGTTTACAACTTTGTAGTTGTGTTAATCTACTTCGTAGTCGAAGGCTTCGTAGCCTGCTCGAGACTCCACTCGAGAGTTTACAACTTCGTAGTTGTGTTAGTCGACTTCGTAGTCGAAGGCTTCATAGCCTGCTCGAGATTCCACTCGAGATTTTACAACTTCGTAGTTGTGTTAATCGACTTCGTAGTCGAAGGCTTCGTAGCATGCTCGAGACTCCACTCGAGAGTTTACAACTTCGTAGTTGTGTTAGTCGACTTCGTAGTCGAAGGCTTCGTAGCCTGCTCGAGATTCCGCTCGAGAGTTTACAACTTCGTAGTTGTGTTAGTCGACTTCGAGTCGAAGGCTTCGTAGCCTGCTCGAGATTCCGCTCGAAAGTGACAACTTCGTAGTTGTGTTAGTCGATTTCGTAGTCGAAGGCTTCGTGGCCTGCTCGAGATTTCACTCGAGAGGTTACAATTTCGTAGTTGTGTTAGATCGACGTCATGGTCGTGTAAGGGTTAATCGGCTTCATAGCCGCTTTGAAAGATTCGATTTTCCAAGCAACCGTAGTAAAGTCAACGCATAAACATAAGAAACATAATTGAAACATAAACTTGCGATTCATTTCATCATTGAACTTGATTTGAACATTGTTCAGTACAAAAGAGAGAAACATAAACTTGCAATTCATTTCATCATTGAACTTGATTTGAACATTGTTCAGTACAAAAGAGAATTCGAAATATTGCCTTAAGCATAGAAGCGTTTGAGACGAATTACGTGCCAGGATCGCGAGTTGTTGACCTTCTCCGTCCTCGAGTTCATATGCACCCCTTTCAAGCACCCTTGTGACAGTGTAGGGTCCTTCCCAATTAGCTTCGAGCTTCCCGACAAGCTTGAGAGCGTCGGCTCGTTTGAGGACGAGATCTCCAACTTGAAAACGTCTGGTTTGGACCCTTTTACCGAATGTAGCGCGCATCTTTTGTTTGTACTCGATGGATCGCACCCAAGCTTCCTCTCGTCCTTCTTCAATTAGGTCGAGGGCCTCCTCCATCATCTCCTCATTTTTCTTTTCTTCATAGAATGTCGACCTGTGGTAGTCCAAGCCGACTTCTACTGGCAGAAGCACATCCATTCCATAGACCATGTGAAACGGAGATTGTCCTGTTGAGCTTCTCGAAATCGTCCTATAAGCCCATAGGACTGTTGCAACTCGTCGACCCAGGCTCCTGACGCTTTCTCCAATCTTTTCTTCAACCCTTGGAGAATAGTTCGATTGGTTACCTCGACTTGCCCGTTTGCTTGTGGGTGTGCGGCTGAAGCAAATCGTTGTTTAATTTCCATGTCGAGGAACCAAGTTTGGATCCGCTTCCCTTGGAATTGAGTTCCATTGTCCGAGATCAGCACTTTTGGAATTCCGAATCGACAACAGATGTTGTTGAACAAGAATTGTATCATCTTTTCTTCAGTAATTCAAGCCAAGGGTTCTGCCTCGACCCACTTGCTAAAATAGTCGACTGCGACCACCAGGAATTTTCTTTGTCCTGTCCCCATCGCCAACGGGCCAACCAAGTCGATTCCCCATCGAGCGAAAGGAATTGGTGAGTTGATTGTCGTCATGTATTCAGCAGGGATGTGTGTAATTTGCCCGTGTCGTTGGCATTTTTTGCATTTCTGGACCAATTGTTCTGCCATTGCTCGAATCTTGGGCCAATAGTAGCCTGCTCGTAGGGCTTTCCCAGTTAAAGCTCGAGACCCAACGTGTGCTCCGCAGCATCCTTCATGGATTTCCCTCAGAACATGGATTCCTTCTCTCAGATACACATCGTAGGTGGGGCCCGACCAGTGATTTCTTATACAAGACCCCGTCGACTTCGAAATACTTGCTCAGGTATCGAGCTACCTTTTCCGCCTCTTGCTTGTCTCCTATAAGTACTCGACCCTGCAAGAGTTCTCGAATCGGCTTTCTCCAATTATCCTTTTCATCGACCTCCATTGTTTCACCCAGGACACTTCCCTCTAAATGCATGGTGGTAATGTGATTTCCCATCTTTTCTTCATTTGAACTCGCAATCCGTGCGAGCCAGTCGGCCCGTTTGTTTTCCACTCGCGAAATTTGTGTTAGCTCAAATTTCTCCAAGCCTTGTACAAGGCTCTGAATTTCCTCGACGTATTTCATCATTCAATCTTCCTTGATTTTGCAATTTCCCAACACCTGTCCCATGACGAGTTGCGAGTCAGAATGTGCCGCTATCTCCGTCGCTCCGCCACCAATCGCGAGTTGGATTCCCTTGATCTCATATTCTGCTTAATTGTTCGAGGCCTTGAACCCCATTCTGATGGCAAAGTCGAGTTGCTCACCTTCGGGAGATAAGAGGACGACTCCGAAACCAGATCCTTTGACCGCAGAGGATCCATCGACATGCATTACCCATTTCTTCTCCTCTCCCTTGGTGCCTTCCTGAATAAAATCTGCCAACGCTTGAGCTTTAATGGCTCGTCTGGGCTCATATTTGATTGAGTATTCGCTCAGCTCGACTGCCCACTTCACGAGTCGACCTGAGACAGTAGGTCGACCCAATGTTTCTCCCAACTGGAAATTCGTTCTTACCACTATCGTGTGATTCAGAAAATATGGCCTTAACTTTCTGGCTGTTATGACCATCATATTAGCGCCGTCTATGGGGAAGTCAACTTGAACATGTCGACGGGTACATGTCGACATGTGAACGGTTTGAGCCGCTTATCCAGTCGAGTAGAGAGCCTTTGGGCCGGTATATCTTTATATGGCTATATCAGAATTATTTATTATATACAAGTTAACCCTCAACTATGTTGTCCATTTTACCAAAATTCATCGTTTTGTTAAAATTTAGATAGGTAAATGAATAGTTGAACATATTTGGATTCTTAATAAGTATGTATTATGCTGTTTTTTTTTTGGATCAATTTTCTTTAAAGAAATTTGTATATTAGAATTATTAAATGTGATTACAAGATTACCGGTTTTCGGTCTAGGGTTTCTTCCGTTGGGAGTTCTTCCGGCTATTACCGGTTTCCGGTCTCTTTCTTCTGCATTCTCTCCTAGCTATTTCTCTTTGCCTTTTATCATATCTCTTCTCTTTCCTTCCGACATCCAGTTTTCTCTTTCCCTCTTTCATCTCCTCTCCTCTCTGATTTCTTTTTCTTTCTGGGCCAAAATGCAAGACGACCTTACTGATCGGCTTAACAAGTTTTCCCTTTCTCAACAAGAAGAAAACATTATTGATCTTGAGTCTACAGATATCAAACTCAGTGATGATGAGTGTAGAAGGAGTCTATTCGGTAAAGTATTTGGTGACAGAAAAGCCCATATGTTCGGCCTCAAAAGAACAATGTCTCATATCTGGCAACTTAAACACCCACTTACAGTTCGAGAATTAGAACCAAATTTTTTCCAATTCCTCTTTGATTCAGAAGCTGAAAAGAAAAGGGTGGCCTCAGGGAAGAACTGGTCCTTTGAAAACCAATACATCATCTTGAAGGAGTGGCAAGATGACCTCTCAGCAGCTCATCCCTGTTTTCAAGAAATGGATTTCTGGGTTCATGTAGGCAACATTCCCCAGAATTGGCTTTGTACGGAAGTCGGACTCAAAATTGGAAAAGCATTCAAAATGGTGAAAAATGCAACCATCTGTACAGGTACTGGAAACTGTGGTAGATATCTGCGTTTGCTAGTTTCAGTCAACCTTAAGGAGCCATTATTGCGATGCTCTTCTATCAAATTGGGGGATAAAGTTCGCAGGATAGAATTCAAATATGAAAAACTCATCAACTTATGTTACTACTGCGGAAGGATTGGCCATATGGATAGAGGATGTAATTTCAAAGAAGAGGATATCATAAATGGTAAATTGTGTGAAGGTCAATTTGGAGACTGGTTGAAAGCCTCTGATGGAGTTTACTCCCCTCGTTCCCACACCCCTTCAGACCCAACCTCTCAAATAAAAGATAACCATAATTCCCACACTGTTCATGGGACTTCAACCTCTAAAGATACTCCAGAAGTCGGTACCAGTAACTCCCCTGTTCAATCAACCAGGCCAGTAGAATCCTCTTCTAAAGCCTTATTACCATGCCCCTCTCATTCTCTTCAGCTAATACCCCAACCAGACAAAACCAAAGCCTCAAGCAAATCTATACTCCTTGACTTCCAAAACCCAAACACAGTTTCTAATGAAAAACCCATGGACTTCTCACTCTCCACACCTCCACTTGCTATAACCTCTCTCCCCAACCCAGTAACCCACCAACCCAGGAAAAAGTGGACAAGAAGACAAGCAAGATTAGTTGAATCCAGTTCCTCAATTCCCAATCCAGCACCCCCTGCTTCTCACACCAGTGGAAAAAGAACCAGAAATGAACCCTCTGATCTTCCTGATATATCCAAGGGCTCTGATCTTAAAAATGCTGGAACTTCTAAGGGCCCTGACTCTAAAGCCAAACTTACCAAGAAACAGAAGGTTACTGCTCAACTAGAAGAAGAAAATCAACAGGTTACAGCTCAGGTGGAGGAAGCCAGCCTCAAGTGGCCCCAAGGTGATCAATGACAGCCATGGTGTGGAACTGTAGAGGTCTGGGTGGGCCCTCTACAGTTCCCCAGATAAAGGAATCTTGGAGATTCCACCATCCAAATTTTGCTTTCCTTTGTGAAACCAGAAAATCCAAAAAATTTGTAAATACTGTTTGCAGAAACTTGGGTGTTGATGACAGATGGGTAGCTTCTGATCCAATTGACAAAAGTGGAGGATTGCTCCTTTTCTGGAATTTGGAAGTTGAAGTCCTTCAAACCATCTGCCATCCTTTTTGTATTGAAGTCGAATATAAACTTAACAGCCTTCAAGATTCTGCTTGGTTCATTTTTGTCTATCTTAGTCCTTGTAAGAGAACCAGATCAGAGCAATGGCAGTTCCTACTACAGTCTAAAAACGAATGGGGTCCTAATTGGGTAATAGCTGGTGACTGGAATGATATTCTTTGCACTGAAGAAAAGAAGGGAGGCAGATGGAGGTCTGAAAATAGTTTCTGGGGTTTTAGAGCTTGCATTGCAGACTTGGGTGGACAAGAAATCTCCATGGAAGGTCACCCCTTCACTTGGGGGAATAACAGAATGGGAGAAGGCTTCATAGAAGAAAAACTAGACAGAATGGTGGCTTCCTTGTACTGGCATGCTCAACACCCCACAGCAAAGGTTCTCAACACCTTTAAGAGTGCCTCAGATCACAGTCTCTTTTTCCTACAAACTGCTACTCCTCAAAATCACAAGAAAAAGACTTTCTGCTTTGATAAAAGATGGATAAAAAAATAAGGCATCAGAGAAGAAATCCAAAAGGCATGGGACCAACCAGTCACAGGCTCAGCCATGTTCTCCCTATCTGAAAAAATCAAATCCACAAGAGTGGCTCTTCTTAAATGGAGTAGGACTTTCCAAACAAACTCTGCAGTGACTATTGCCCAACTTACATCTGAAATGGCAAATCTGAGAGAGCAAGGTGGTGATAGAGATTGGAACAAATGGGCACAACTTAAGCACAAACTTGATGAAGCATACAAGGAAGAGGAATCCTTCTGGAAGCAAAAGTCAAGGGTATGTTGGCTCAAAGAAGGAGACAAAAACACTCGATTCTTTCATGTTTATGTACTTCAAAAGAGAAAGTTGAACTCCATTGTCAAACTCATTGATGCTGACAACTCCATTTGTGACACCAGAGAATCAATCACAGGCTGCATCTCAGACTATTACAATAACTTGTTCACTTCAGAAGGATCTGTTGATATGGGAAACCTTCTCAGCTATATTCCAGCCTCCATCTCTCAGGATCAAAATGAATCTCTCTCTGCCCCAGTTACTGAAGATGAAATCCAGAATGCTCTCTTCAGCATGAAACCTGACACAGCTCCTGGCTGGGATGGTATGCCTCCTTCCTTCTTCCAATCCTTTTGGAGTATTGTTAAAAATGACTTATGCAAAGCTGTCCTGTCTTTCTTTACCTCTAACCACTTGCTCAAAAACTAGAACCTCACCTTAATCTCTCTGATTCCTAAATGCCAGTCTCCTATCTCTGTTGAAGACTACAGACCTATAAGCTTGTGTGAGGTGATTTACAAAGTTATTTCTAAAATTATTGCTGAAAGACTCAAACCATGTCTCCCCTCTTGCATTAGTAACACTCAATCAGCCTTCATCCCTGATAGACAACTCCTTGATAATGTGATCATAGCACATGAAGCCTTTCATTTCCTCAGTAGACACAGAACAGGTACTAAAAGATACATGGCCCTTAAGCTAGACATGTCCAAAGCTTTTGACCGCATTGAATGGGCCTGTATCAAATGTATTATGGACAGAATGGGTTTTGACAGAACCTTTGTAACCTGGGTCATGGCATGTGTGCAGTCCACCACTTTCTCTTTCAAACTTAATGGACTCCCTGCTGGTTATATAACACCTTCTCGAGGAATAAGGCAAGGGGACCCTATATCCCCTTACTTGTTCCTCTTAGTTTCTGAGAGCTTATCTTGTTTAATTCAGCATGAACTTGATACTGGCTCTTCCAAAGGTCTGAAAATTTCAAGGCAATGGCCCACTCTCAGCCACCTCTTCTTTGCTGATGATTCATTGCTGTTTTGCCATGCTACTCTTGAGTCTGCTAACCTCATTCTATCAATGTTGGAGAAATATAAATGCTTCACAGGGCAGCAAGTTAATCTATTGAAATCTGCAGTGTTCTTTAGCAAAAACACACCTACTGCCACTCAAACTGCCATCTGCCATACTCTCCAAGGTATCTCTCTACACCAATCTTCTAGATATCTGGGGTTGCCACTTGGGATAGGCAGATCCAAAGAAGAAGCATTCAGTTATGTGACTGAAGCTGTCAAGAAAAGACTGCTCAGTTGGAAAAACAAATTCCTCTCCAGGGGCAGGCAAAGAAGTCCTCATCAACTCAATTCTGAGTGCACTCCCAGTCTTCACTATGTCATGCTTCCTACTGCCTTTGGGTATCTATCAAGAACTTTCCAAACTTTTTGCCAACTTCTGGTGGTCAACTCAGAGTTCTAACAGAAATGGTATTCACTGGAAAGCCTGGGCTTTTCTTTCTCTCCCAAAAGCTGCAGGAGGACTCAACTTTCATGATCTTCATGTCTTCAATGAAGCACTCATCTTGAAGCAAGTTTGGAGAATGATCACAAAACCTGACATTCTTATGAGCAAAGTTCTCAAGAGTAGATATTTCCCCTCTGGTGACTTTTTCAGTGCAAAACCCAATCAAAATGCTTCCTGGTTATGGAGAAATTGGCTCAAAGTCCAGAAAACCTTCTTGCAGGGCTTTATGATGCAAGTTCACAGTGGTAGGCAAACCAGAATCTGGGATCACCCTTGGGTTCCAACCCTCTCAACTCACTGTTAACCAAAACACCCTCTTCCCCTAACCTTGTTTGGGTTTCTGATCTCATTGCAGAAGATGGTATTTCTTGGGATAGAGAACTCATTTGCAGCTCCTTTTCTCAATCTGAAAGTGATGCAATCTTGCAGATCAAAAATTTGAACAGACACTTGCCTGATAAGCCAACCTGGTCCTTTGATGCAAAGAAAAATTTCTCTGTGGCTGCTACCTATTCACAAATTATTGCAGACAAAATCCTGAAGCTTGACATACCTGGAAACAGCTCCAACGCTGGTAGCTTAAGGAAAATGAGGAGCATGAGCTGGAAGCTAAATATCAAGGGCAAAGTCAAACATTTCCTCTGGAAATGCTTCAGTGGAGTACTTCCTGTTGCTGTCAACCTCAAAAGAAGAGGCCTTGAATTAGACACTACCTGCATGCTCTGTGGGGAACTGCCTGAAACAATTGAACACCTCCTTTTCCAATGTCCAAGAGCAATCACAGTTTGGAAGCTATCTCATGTGCACTGGGGCAACCTATCATACAGTGATGGTCTCTTCAAACACTGGTGGACTGACATCTGCTTATTAAAAAAGGACAAGGCAGTGGATGAAAGGATGCAGCTATCTACATACATTCTGTGGCAACTATGGAAAACTCGCAACCTGTGGGTGTTTCAGAAAGTCCAAACCCCGGAGAAGATCATTATGGAGATGGCTGTTAAAGAATGGCTGGAGTACTGCTCTTCTCTCCTTCCTCATTAGGCTTGGTGCTGGTTTCCTTTTTTCTGTCTCCTTTCTGTTTTCTGTTTTCCTAGCTAGGCCTCGGCAGTGGCTAGTTTATTTGTCTTGTTGCTGTTTTGTCTGTTTGATGTTGTTGTAGTGTGCTGCTGTAGTTTATTGTTGTCTTATGTTTTTTAGTTGTAGTGTGTTTCTGTGTTTAGTGTAGGGAGCTTCGGTTGCTGGTTGCTGTAATCAAGTCGCAGGTTTCCGCATTTGTTAGCGGCTGCTACTTGTTTAGTATTGATCTTGTTGTTTTCTGTTTTCTAGATGGCTTCTAGCTTGCCTCTGATCCTTATGGATTGTGGTCAGAAATGATCCCGTGTATGAACTATACTTATTTATGAGATATTCTATTATCGTTTCGAAAAAAAAAAAAAAGATTACAATTTTACCATAACATTCTATTAAAANTAGCATAGATATATTTGTTTATTGTGGATTGAGAAAGTTTGTACAAAAATTTTCTTATATCCAAATATATGGTAATTGCTTTTAAAACCTGGTGATAATTCATAAGAATTAAAATGTGTACATGATGAGTTAGGTGATGGGTGTTTTAGGGATGGATGGTATATCCCTCTGGATTCGAATAGCAGGTTTATTTTCGTGTGTCATTTTTTGTGAGCCAAACAAGTTGCTAGTTTGATTTGTTCTTTTATTTCTACAAAAGTTGGAGGTAGACAAGACAAGGATGTCAATATGCTTCCTTATTTATACACAAATTGGTTCCAAGGGTTTAAACCTGCAAATTTTGTAATTTAGGTCCTGCAATCAATAAACCAGATGTCAAATACAATTCAGACTTGCATAGTTGTATACTTGGAACTAATACTCAAGAATATCATTACCAAAATACATGAAATGAGATTTTTTCATGTTAAGTGCCTAACCATCATCCACTAGTTACCCGCAATAGAGTGTAATATTAACATCAACATAATAGCAAAGCCTCATCTACCATGCACAAAACCAAATTCATAAACATTAGTTCCAAAACTGAAACACGATTATCTTCACGAAAGCAACTAGCAAGCCACCATAAAACTTCATATAGCTGCTATATAAGTGCTAACTCTACATGAATTTACACTAAAAGCTACAAGGAAAAGAAAATAAGAACATTATGGCTTTCCAAACTGAGATTTAATAACAAGTTGCCTGTGTCTAGAATAACCACAAGACTGATTACAGTTTACAACAGCTTCAACAATAATAAACATCAAATAAATGTAGGACACAATATTCATCTTGGAACAAGCCATCTTGGAACAAGCCATTTGCATAAAAGTAGTGCAACTATAAGCCATTCCCATATAATATTTTCAGCTTTTATAATAAAAAGGAATTCAATCATTTCAAAAATTAATATGCCATATCCAAGTATACATTTATAGTGAACCATTTTCGGGAATAAACTTCAGAATTAACTATCCCCACGTAAACACTAGCTAAAATCTTAAGACTTCCCAAGATTACAAGCTAAAGCCAAAAGTGATCACAAGAAATCAAGTTTCTTCACAGGGAAATATGAAGAAACAAAACCATATCATGAGAAAGTTTCTCAAGTAAAATTACAGTCTTGTGCATACAAATGCTAGATTTTAAGCAAAAAGAAATAAAAAATGGAGTATTCACTCCTTAGCAATCTAAACATGCGAAATTAAACAGTTTTTCATTGAAGATGATAAATGTCGAACCCATCCCAATCGTTCATGGATTATTTAACTTTTTATTTCAGTACAAGAAACTTCATTCATCTTCTCTTTAGTTCAGAACTAGTATAATTTATTATTCACACTGGTCTTCAATAACAACAATTCAAGAGCAAGATATTCAGACTGAAATCTATCATTATCTAACTTATAATAAATGTTTTTTCCTCAGATGCAAAAATAAAATCACAAGTTCATACAGTCTAATCATTGAAGTGACAATAGGGACCAAGCAATTTCCAACCAAATAAACTACACTAGCCATTGAAGTAATAAAAAATTATACCACTCAAAAGTAGCAAACATCCCCTATGATTCTTGATGACCTTCAAGTCTTCTCCTTTTTTTGCTCTCCCCCTCCGAACCATCATTCTTCCTCTTCTTTTTCAACTTTTTAGAATCCTCCTTGATCTCTTCTTTATCCTCGGATACCAAATCCTTCACCCTATCCTCATTAGGGTTTGCTCCAGTAGTCCTCTTATTCTTTTTCCCTCTTTTCTTGGAATCATTCACTGTCTTTCCATCCGGGCTTTTATTCAGATAATATTTCTCCAATTCATGGGCCGTTTCCGGGTTGTGAGCGCCGCTGTTTTTGTCGTGAAATTGGAGTAAGTGATTGAAGGCGTCGGCCGTCCGCTGCAAGTAGAGGGAGATGGTGGCGGAGGAGCCGTTGTCGAAGGCGGCGAAGTCGCTGATGAGTTTAGCTGCCGTAGAAACAGAAACGGGCTTTGAAGAGAGCAGTTGGCCTGAGATCTTCCTCATTTTCTTTTTTGGCGTCAGGCGGCGGCGGAGGAAGATTATATGTGACCGTGAACTTGTGTAGATTAAATTAGGGTCTTTGGCTATTTGCTGTTCAATTACAAAACTACCACTCAATGCAATTCTTTATGGATCTCTAACACTTCTATCTAAAATTATAAAGTACTTTAATAATAAATTGTAAATATATTATGAGTTAATAATTTTTTATCACTCATTTTTTTTCTATGTAATATATTATATTAAATTAATCGTCGATTAATTAATTAGCTTCAATATGACATCTACATTATATATAAAATAAATAAATAATTATATTTCATTTCATAATAAAAATTAAATTATTATTAATATTAATCGAGAAAAATACAATTATTTATCCTAAGTAAATTTATCTATCAAGTAATTATATTAATAAGTTATAAAAATTATTATTTATAATATAAGAGGGGTAATTCGTTCAAGTGAAGAACGTCTCTTAAAATATAAATTCTACGTAATTGTTGAATTGTTTGGAAGGTCCCATTTTTTTTCCTCTATGAAATGTTAAATCTACTAAATCATTTCCTCGTACAAATCATAATTTCAATTGCAA